TCGACACGATTTTTCGGATCGCAAACTTGCGAATTTTGTCGCTTGCGCTAACGATTATGTCCGCGTTTACACGGGGATACTTTTCTTCTACGAAACAGTCGTTTGTCGGCGAGGGGGCGACGACGAAGGCAACAACGCAGCGTATCACTGTGCTCGTTCGACACGCTTTCTGTTTCTATTCGTCTGTGAAGATTTTAACATTCCCTTTTATTTTGTTTCTCATTTTGAACTGATTGTAGCTGTCTTAAATTTCAAATGAATAAATGCAGTAAATTTGAAAGTTGAAATTTGGGGTTTTACTACAAAATTTAAATATATGTATGTGCGTATATTTATCCAATTATTAATAAATATTTCAGATAATGGAGTTCGCAGATAATTATTAGATTAAAGAAGCCGCTGAGATTGATTCTGGTGGCAGTGAAATGGATAAGATATATAGATGACCCTTTGGAAAGGGTAGAGCTGATGTCTAATCAAATGTAGAAGAAACAGATGTCAAAAAAATTACTTTAACAAAGTATCTCTGTGGGAACGTAAAGAGCAACACAAAAAAGGAAATTACGATAAAAAGCGTCAAAAGTATCCTCATGTAAACTCAGACTATTCGATTCTCTAACTCAGTTTTTACCATAATCGACAACGCACATTTCCGTTTTTTTATTAAAATGAAGAAAAAAGAATGACACGAACAAATAAGTTGGTTAAAGCTATTATTATTATTAAATAATTACAATGCACTACAAGTTTATCAAATCAAAATCTTGAGATAAGGATCACATATCTATGTACAATGAACTTTGTTACTACAATAGTAATTGAATAAAACTTTACTCTCGCCATTTGCACGTTGGTAGAATGGTATCCATGAAGGTGGTAGGCTTCTTCTTGATTTCTGGGACTCAGGACGCATTGAACTGTTGACTGCTTCTGTCACGCGACGAACAAAATGGTTTACTGGCGACTGACTCATGGCTATTTCAGCGGATAGTGCTGCATTTCTGCTTTTTAGTTGGCTATTAAAAAACTCAGTTGCATTCAAGTGGAAACGATCTTCAACTTTTGAAAGCAAACTTCTACCCAATGATGAAGGCTAAAATACGTCCTCATTTTGGGATAAAACGTATGCCAAATGCTCACAAGCCATTTTTGTTTATAATTTTATTTTTATATAATTTAGCCAATTTTCCGATTTACTTTACTTTATTTCATTAAGTACGCAGTTTTTAAATTGCGCGATATTATTTTGTTTAAATGTTGTCAGCACTGTTCCTACCATTTTAGTTATCTATTATCACTCTGATAAGAAGACCATTTGTTTTTCCATTTTCCGCCATGGAGCGGTTCAGTATCGAGCAACGCATTCTTATTGTAAAAACTCATTACAAAAACGGGAGGTGCTACGCAGAGACTTCGCGCGATCTTTGGACGTGACAGTGCTCCGACCGTAACAAGAGCTTCGACGTTGGTGCAGAAATTCGAAGAATCTGGTATAAAAGATAGATAACTTAACTTATATTTTAGTACATTAAACTATATACATTTTCAAATTTTTATTCAGAACAAGTTTTGTATGTACATCAATTTAAAAATATAGCTTAAGAATATAATAAATAACTAGGCAAAATATCAACTTCCCGGCTTTCAAATTGCTGGCGAGTGTAGTGGTACCTCAGGTCGATGTGCTAACTGCGGGCATGGTATGTAGCATTCTTAAGCAATCACTGAGCGCTTTCGTTGCCGTTGTAGAGAAGTATCGGCCCATCGTGAGGAAAGCCCAGTTTCTCCAACAGCTTCATAACATATGATGCCCCTTAAGCCGCCACTGCGAGTGCCATATTCTCAGATTCTGTACTACTGAGAGCTACCACACTTTGCTTCTTGGACTCCCATGAAAACACACAGTTTGCCGCTACGAAAACGAATCCAGTAAACGATTTTCTGTCGGTAGCATCTCCTCCTTAGTCGGCATCCACATAAGATTTGATTGGTTTATACGATTTAGTGTAATGAAACTTATAGTCCATTGAATCGCATGCTGTGCTTTACCGCCGTTTTCAAGGCATACGCCATCTGTTACTTCGAATTTCTTGGATATTTCGTGTTTAATATTTAACAAAACGGATTTGTCGGAGCTAACGATAATTCGATCGTCAACATACACTACAATCAGTGATTTGACGTCGTCAATATGCCTCGTGTGTGTGCAACTCGATGCTTCGGACAACGCTGTCTAATTTTGCGTTCCATTCACGCCCACTCTGCTTCAACCCATAGAGGTTTCAACACCTTGTCGCTGCGCTTCGCATCAATAAAACGTTTCGGCTATTTACGTGGTCGTGTAAGTCACTGTTCAGGTATGCCGGTGAAACGTCTAGTTGATGCAAAGATAATTTATGCGTTAACTGCATCCCTTTGCTACGAGTCTGGCCTTAAATCGTTGAATACTTCCGTTTGTGTCTCTCTTTATAGTAAATACCCATTTCCTGTCAATTGCTTCTTGCCCCGTTGGCAATTCTACGATGGTATGGTTTTTTATGCACGCGTCGTACTCCTTCTTCATCGGTGTAGAGCATGCTTCGCGCCATTTCCACCAACGTCCTGTTTGCTCTTTCGGCAACAGTATTTTGTTGTGGGGTATATGGAGCAGTGAGCTGTCTTCTAATACCATTTTAATTTAGAAATTTCTCAAATACACCTTTAACGTACTCTCCCCCATTATCACATCTTAATCATTTTATTCTTCTTCCTGTTCGATATCCACACAGTCATAAAATCTTTAAATGCTTCTAGCACACAATCTTTTGTCTTCAAATTTGTCATCGATAAATTTCGCAAAATACAGTACACCACCCACTGAAGGTGTGTTAATTGGTCCACATAGGTCACTGTTTATGATCTCCAATAGATCCTTAGAACGATTTTAATTGCCTTTTTTAAAGGGAGAACCTGGTTTTTATCTCATTCGATTAGAAATATATTCAGAAATATTTCCACAAAATTTAAGAGTCAAACTCCTTATCGTTCCGCAGACATAGCCTCTGAGAGACAATGCGCTCAGGAGACTGATAAGCGGGAGCGAGAACTTTGAACGCGATTTTCTCAAAACAGTGTTTTTCTGTTTTGTGCACACGATTAAAAAAGTTGTAATTGTCGCATTTTCATAAGTGATACCTTTTTTGCAGCAAATAGTGTAGGCTTCTATGTGAACCACGAAAAATCACAATAAAAAATTTTTGTTATTAACTTTTTTCAATAAATTATCTTAAAATTTCTTAAGAAAAATGCAAAATTTTTTATAAACAGTCACAAAATAAATAATTTTATTCATTTCTTAGAATGTACTAGGTTCACATAGAAGAGCAACTCCTAAGCTACAAAAAAAAGATAAAAGCTATAATCGCTATTATGTTCACAAAATAGACTCTTCGAGCGAGAAGTGCCACAAACAAATACGAATTGTTATTGCTTAACAGTATAATAAAGTGAAAGTAATTTTTTTTTGCAAGATTTGTGCATCTATGACCTATTTCAAAAGTACTTGAAACATTTCATCCGTAAGGCAACCGAAAACAAATTTAATGGCTTCTTGATCAGATGCAATTGCACTCATACATTTAATTGTCGAAGTTAAGTTAAGTTAAGTACTACTCTATTTTGTCTGCTTTTCATTTTCACCAAATTATTGCAAAATATCACTGAATGTCCATCGCTATACTTACTGAAATAAAGTTATTTTGCAACTCTGTCACATGCAGTACATTTGTAAGCATTACTTCTGTTCGCACTAATTATACATTACCTCGCCCAATAGCTTCGATTGATTCAATGTTAACTTAAATTTGTCTACACTTCCATTTATCCAGATATTTAACATTTCTTTTCTCTCTTTTTTTTGATTTGCAGTTACCTGCCAAATGCTCACGCAAACCGCAATTGTAGCAATTTTTGCTGTTGGTGTTTTTGGGCTTCCAATTATTACTTTGTTTTTTTTATGTATTTTTCTCATTTGCACAAGCTTGAAGAAGTTTTTCTGTCTGATTTATTAAATTCTTGTTGGCGAGCACCCTCTTCTAATAATTTAATTTTCAAAGCTTCTAAATCAGGTAATACATCGCGCGCTTCAATAACAATAACATAGTTTTCGAAATTATGAGGAAGGCTGGACACTAAAATTATAATAAGTATTTTTTCGTCAATTGAAACGTCAACTTGCGCCAATTTTTCGACAAATTCAGTAAAGCGGTTGAAGTGATCTTGTCGCTGTCCGACATACGGAGCTGGAGTAATCCTTTGAATAGCATAATTTTTTTGCAGGACCTCTAGGTAAGTTAACATCCTTCACTTAGCCCACGTCTCGGTTGTAGTTTTACATAACTTTATATGACTAATTTGGCTGGGCTTCACACAGAGCATAATTGCAGCCAAAGCCTGTTTATCTTTCGGGTCATACTCTAACGCTTGCTGTGATGTCGCAACTTCGGGCTTCCCGCACATAACGTGCCATAAATCACAATGTATTAAGACACTCTTCATTTGAATTGTCCATGACGAATAGTTGGAGCCATCCAGCTTCTCTATCTGCATCAGCGAATTCATACCTGCTTTCTCAAAAATTCAATAGTTACCACAAACTTTGGAGCCTTGCTGTGGGCTCATAGCCCTGATAGAAATGATGGCTTCATGAAATAAATACGAAGCAGGTATTTCATACAGATCCAAGTTGTCAACAAGAAGAAATAAAAGTTTTTTGAAGCTTCTGTTATATACAGCAGTGTGGTATAAAAGATAGATAACTCAACTTATATTTTAGTACATATATGCCATATACTTCAGCAAAATTAAATAAGAATTTTGAATTTTTCATCCCTTTTGGCTGATTTATTGAAGTTTTAAAAACTGCGTACTCTTTATATACACTCATATTTAAGTCAATATTTACACTCTGGATGTGGTGTTTGTAGCCTAGTTTAATTTATGCAAACTATTTTCATTTACAGATATTATGAGACGGGATCCATTAAGCCACGCGCAATAGGCGGTTCGAAACCACGCGTTGCCACAACACCTGTTGTACAAAAAATTGCAGATTATAAGAGAGAATGTCCCAGCATTTTCGCTTGGGAAATACGTGATCGACTACTGTCTGAGCAGGTTTGCAATAGTGATAACATACCAAGTGTAAGTATTCAGAAAAATATCCTAACAACGGTGTAATGATATGCAGTGGGGAGCAAAAGTGATTCCAGGATCAACGTTTTCATGTTTGGGAGCACATAAAAACTAAACGAACGAAGTAAATTATGAAACTTTAAAAAAATTTTAATAGTATTTTATTTGTAACAAGAGGGCGTAAGAAATGAAGCAGAAGAAGCTATAGAATAGTAATGATTCAAAAACAAAAACAAGCGTCATGTACTCAGTTTTGCACCATATAAGAAAAAATACAAAATAAACTCTTTATTACTATTTGGTCCAGCGACCCTTATATTCTATGACATTTTTCATAAGTTTTGGCATACTTTTAACTAATTTTTCGAATCTTAATTTCGGGATATTATTCCACTCTTGTTCAACACGCCCCCCAAGTTCGTCCACTTTGGATAGGGCTGATTGATACTGTCCTTTACGAATAACCATAGGTTTTCAATCGGGCTCGGGACTTGCGCTGGCCACACCATAATTCGAGCTATTCTTTAACAGTTTTCGCAGTGTGCTTGAGATCCCCATTTTGCTGAAAAGTGATTTCCTGCTCTGGGTACGCACTTTCGCATAATTCCGTCAACTTTGTGCAACGGTACAACGTGCGAATACGTGAAACACCCCATGTTTCACGGTTTGCCTCACATGATGCCTTTTAATCTTTTTTTTCACTGTTGCGACGTAACCAATCCTACCAAGCGCTCTTCTAGCTGTCCATCGACTCACGTCTTTATTTATTTCTGTAGAAGCCTCTTCTGGCGTTAAAAGTCTTCTTCTTTCAGCACAAACATTTAGTCAGAAGACTTGACAACCACTTATTGACTAATTTGCAGCTTCTCAACAATAGTGTGTGTCGAACATCCACTTTTAGTCAGGGAGATAATACTAATATCTTGATCAGAAAACAGCTTCTTCATTTCTTCAGTGAATAGTTAGAGACTAAATTCCAAATTAATTTTCTGAATTTTAACAACGAATAATAAATGCAAAAGGCACTTAACGGTAAATCTGTTGTTGCTGATAGTAAAGTAAGAAAGGCAAAAATATGAGCGAATAACGGATGGTGCAAGACTGAGTACGAGCCGCTTATTTTGGTTTTAAAATCATAACTATTTCATTTTTTCTTTTCCTATTTTACTATATACGCCTAATTGTGAAAAATAAACAATGTGTTAAAAAAAAAGTTTTTGTCATTTACTTTATTCGTTTCATATTTATGTGAGCTCAAACATGAAAACGTTGATCGTGGAATCACTTTTGCTCCCCACTGTATGTATTTTCGAATACGCCAATTACCGAAATCAGCCTAAAAGAAAGCTCGAGTTATTGTTAAATAAATACCTACCTACTATACCTATAGTCTATATATCTGGTTCTTTATTTTTCTATGACTGCTAGTCTCTTACTCTTATTCAACCATCAACTGCATGCTGTGGTCTCAGTTAGCGTCTATTGGCTGTTAAGCAATGAACCAATCACAATTGGCCACAGCGCAAGGGTAGTTAAGGAGGCGTTAACATCAAATAACAATGCTGTTATCTTTAATAATAAAGTAAATAATTAATAAATCAGACAGAAATCTATATATTTATGTAAATACTCTAACGGCTCTCAGTATTAATGAATATACATATGTTTATATTGATAATTGGCGTTTTATAACGTCGAAGAGATTTTCGACCAAGCCCTTCTTCCGTCTTTATAGTTATGCAACCAGTCGAGAAAATTTAATTTTTTTATCCCGTCGCCAAAGGGCCAATGGATTGTTGACTACATGACATACCTCTAGGAATTTTTAAGGGGCACACCTAGTGTAATGGCCTAAGAAAAGGTGATTTTTGTGAAAGTTTATTAAAAAAAATACTTCATCAATTATTTCAAAATCTTAAGAATACATTTATACATCTTTCTAAAATATACAGTAAAATTTTTGAAGAAAAAATTAAATATTTTTTAAGTTATAGTCGATTTCCAACGGCGCGAAAAAAAGGTCCTTCCCTGCTGCAGTGATTCCGGCCTTCTCCGAAACAGCATTTTCCGAATTTGCTGCAGTGATTACACAAAAACAAATGATCCGATCATTATCGATTTTTTTACATGTTCTATTTATATTTCTCCGAACAATGTCTTATCGATTTTTGATCAGATCGAAAAATCGAATTTTGGCAGGCCAAAAGCGACCAAAATTTTCGGTAAAATTCAACTATTTAAATTTAAACGTCACCATATTGTCAATTTTTGATTTTTTTATCGTAGGTCATTGTACAGACAATATTATCTAATTTAACGAGAATTTCTTTTTAGATTTCATCCACGGAGAAGGCCGGAATCTTTGCAGCAGTGAAGGACCTGTTTTTCGCGCCGTTGGAGATTGACTATAACTTGAAAATTATTTAATTTTTTTCTACAAAAAAAATCTCTCTATATTTTTGAAACATGTATAAATATATTCTTAAAACTTTGAAATAATTGATAAAGTATTTTTTTAATAAAAATTCCCAAAAATCAGGCCATTACCTAGGTGTGCCCCTTAAAGATAAAATGATCTTGTTCACTCGTAGCTAATAAGACTCTCTAGCTTCCGCGCGGCTGCTCTTTAAATTGCTATAACTCAAGAACTATTTGAGATATTGATTTGAAATTTTAATATGTTATTTTGAAATGTGTAATCTACGGAAATTTGAGATAAGATAGATTTTTTTGAAATTGCGCACTAGGTGTGCCCTTTAAATCACAATCGATTAAATCAATCAACTATGGTTTAGTAAGGTCTGTACTGGTCATAACTGAAAGTTGCTCAGTAATTATATCGTTGCAGACGACAGTTAAAGAAGGCGCAAATATTAAGTCTCTTCAGGTCGCTTAGCATGTACAAGACCCAATGAGGAACTAATCGAAATTCACGAACCAACCCAATATGGAACTGACAATAAGGCAATATCGCACTCAATTTGCAAAAAAGAAATGCTCAACTTGCACTAAGCACCGTGATCGGGAGGGAAAAGTGAAATATGGAAGAAATCGAATATCATCTTTAAATATTATTGTCGTTATAACCACTGTAGAGCAGTCCGAATTAATAAACATTGTTTGGCTAATAAAAACATCAAATCTGAGAGCAGTAGAATTCATGAATCACTGTTCAATGACTAAGGAAAAACAAACTAGAGCAATGAATCGTGTAAATAATATGTATATAGTAAAGATTTCTGTTTTTTTTGTTTCTAAATTAAACGGTATTTAACTTTTTATACATAAAAATTATTTACTTTCATACAAATTTATGAATGCTATATAAGTACAATATTATATCAATGGACTGAAATCCTAATTGGCATTTTTAACTACATGTATATGCATATAATGAATCATTTTCGTTTTGAAATTCTTATATTTTGTGTCTCTCATAAAATGAAATAACTGATTTCTATGGCAGCCTACGACTTCAATAATCAATAAGAAAGCAACATTAACGTTTCTTAGTTCACTTCACAACACGATAACTATGAATTCCCCCTACTTTTCTAATTTTCATTTGCTTGCATGAATATATAGTAAATAGTATCCCATGCTCTCTGTAAGTCTTATTAGCTGAGAATTTCATTGGTTTACTTACAACTAAAAACGAAACTTTTTGCAAATAGTTTCAACGCATAAACATAGCACAATATTTTAAGTACATGGTATATATGTACGTAATAAAATTTATTGCTTAAATTAGAGAAAAAGTTGTGGTGATCAAATAACTATGCTCAAGAAGTAACGTGTAGAGCGTGCATTGGAGATATACAGGCGTTGACAGCTACAATAGTTGGAAAAGATACTTACGTGTATTTTAAGCTGAATGATCTTTTTGCCCATTGAAGCACGCATTTTCAAAATTTGTTCAAAATTCAAGCTCATATTTTTTTTAGCAAAACCCTTTGAAATACATGAACTGAGTGTGGCATCTAAACAGAAACAAAAATATTTTATCAGAAAAACATAATGATATTAAGATAATATATTTACTTTTAGCTAGTATTTAGTTGCCTAATTCTGCTTTAACACTGCCTCACACCGATTTCACATTGATCTTATAACATTTCGACAGCGCGCCACTGATATTGCTTGCTAGGCCGTTCTCACTTCCACAAAAAGAACATAAATTTTTGGGATATTTTTGGCACTAACGACGTCACCCCAGAGGCTTAAAGACTGGAGTGGATGATAGCCATTCTAAAATATTAATGGAATTTTCGTCAAAAAATGTTTTCGTCAACTTTGCGGTGTGATTTGGATTATTTGTGATAAATCTTGTTGTCAATAACAAATTTATAGAATAAATGCATCCAAATTCGCTTTAAGTTATATGTTAAAAAAATTTAATTTATTAAACAATTATAGATATTTTGTAAAAATTTTAAGGTTACGTCGCTAAACACTCAGTTAGTTTAACGAATATGCCTAACCACATTTTTTTCATTTCGGATGAGATTTTCGTTGTAATTAAAAAGAAAAACAATAAAAAAATTTTTTTTTGGCCCACCCTAACATTTAAATAGAAAAGCCCTCTTCTTGTAAGTGCATTTTGAGCATAATAGCATAATATGCAAATTTACCGTTATATTTTCTTAAAAACGACACTTGCATTGTTTTCATTACTCCATTTACTGCTCAATGGCCCGAGATTTTTAGTTGTACATTTCAAGTACTAATATTACTTTCCCACTTTGTGCATGCATTACTTGGTGTAAAGTAAATAAAGTACAACAGTTAATTAGAACCGATTGTTCAATAGAAACATATTCATAACGTTGTACAGTTTTAGTGATAAATATACTAATTTTTGGTTAGTATTTATCTGAAATGTTTTATTTTAAATCCATTAAAATTTTTATTTTGAGATTTGTATATGAAATCCCAGCAGATGTGATTTTTAATGCCTTAAAGCATATCCGGAATTTCAAAACTGATGCAAATGTCGAACGCAAAAAAGG